TTGCTTGCGGCTCGCTGTAAATTGGAATGGACCCTGGCACCGCTTTATACAAATATAAACAGAATGGTGATTTTTTTTCTAGGTAACAGTAAAAAGGCAGTTGCAGTAAACGTTATTTTCTGGGTTCGTGCCGTGGCTTTGAGCTTTTGGCCTCCTTGACCTTGGCTTTGAAGGCGCAATGTGAAGGTTACTGATACATTGTGTTTCACGTCATACGCCAGTATCCTAAAATGAGCAGCTACAGAGGAGTCTAACATTACTAAATAAAAGCAACCGCGACCAGTGACGTATTAAACTTCCCGGGAGGGCTCACTGAGATCGAAGCTCCTTGATGAGACTCACTCTCATCATGATATCATGAGTGCCGAAATATATCACCCCTTAATACTCCGAGAAAGATAAAATGAGATGTTGACTTGATGTAGCTTCGGGCAACCAAGCTTTTGTATTGGTTTCTATTTCCATGTTATAGTGAAAATCTCCAATGGTCAGTTCTAACTGTTTGCTGCCAGGCATCTGCTTACGTCTGACAGCGTGTGATTCGAGAGCAGAGAACGCTTATACAAACAGTGTCAGTGATATCATAACGTTCAAATAGTGAAGATAATTCCTTGCTACATAAAAGTTATGAATTAACTAGAAAGGCCAATATTTGCTTTGGAGCAAATACAGCGATGGGTTCACCACATTTTACGACGTCATGGCAGGGAAAGAATGAGAAACACAAGGGAAAACAATGATTTACATTGATATAACTATAATATGAAGTAACATACAACTAAAACAACAGTTGGATAGCTATTCCCTACTTTATTGGTTAGGATTTTTAATTGCATAATGGAAACTGTTGATTTTCAAAATAAATAAAAAAACGTTCATGCCCCGCATTCCAATGCTGGAGCAGAAAAGCTTGAAATACCTACCAAAACACTTGAATAAAGACATACTGTCAGTATGGAAATCTCTGTGCAGGTGTTAATCAAGTTAAATCCCAACAGCCAATCAGCAAGAAATGCTCTGTGCAGGTGGAAATACTCTGTGCTTGTGTTAATCAAGTTAAATCCCAACAGCCAATCAGCAAGAAGTATAGAGGAAAGCTGCATGCCTATTGGTTGATGCCCTGCATTCCATTGTGATGACTCATGGTAAACACGGCACACTAACACAGTAATACATTTGATATAACACAGCCAAAAAACTCAAATAAAACCATTCTAAAAGCCTGTATCACAAAAATTTAAAAAACGCCTAGGGGTATTTGCCCACTGTACCTCCATACCAAATTTCAGGACCTTGGGCCCTAAAATGAAGAAGCTGAATCCATTTAAAAAATGGCAGGAGGAGAAGGAGGAGGAGGAGGAGAAGACGGTAAAAGTTGTGAATCAGACTAAGACCCCATCGAAAGGCATGTTTGGATAACCTTGCAACACTCGGACTTATTACTATATTTCAAAAGTACATGTTGTAATAATGTAACGTTATGCTTCATGACTTCTTCGGAAAAAATCTGCAAGCAACATCACCTCAGCCAGTTTGAACTGGCTCTAGAATTACGTCTGTCCCCCGTGTTGAAATGTTTTTTTTTTTCGTTCTATTGTTTTTCTAATGAAAAAATAATGATAAGCAGTGTAAAAGCCAGGCAAATAGCCACTGCGAGCTCCATGGAATATGAGAGCATTAACGTTACATTGTATATGGTTGCGTCACTTTTCCGTTCCCTGAGTTGGTAACGTTACATGACGTACGTTACATGTGTGCCTTTGCCAGTGATGGCACAACACAGTCAACGTGTAGCTCATGAGAATTGGTGCCGCGATGGAGACTATAACACCTCTCCTCCACGGAGCAACTTCCCGACATTGGCAGTCCGAAAGTTGACCAGCTACAAGTTAGTAACGTTATCTGTATCACCGGTATTGCACGATTATCTATTGGAGGCAAATACTGTAGCTGCTCACGGTCCTCACGTTTTCGGCTGTGTACGGCCAAGGTCCTTGGAACGACTATTCAGTATCGTTACATGTCGATAGGAACACCTGGCGCGTATAATGATAAAATGGTCAACCAAGGGCTTATGAAGGAACTTCTGTGTTTCAGGATTTTACCTGTGCACTCCAAGTCTCCATTGAAACCGAAACACAAGAAGCTGAGATTATAATACATTTATTTTGAAAAAAAAAAAGGAATTTGGTCGAGAAACAGTGATTTTATGTGATTCATAACCATTCTCCCAGCCAGTGCAAATCTTACACGTGTGAAACGTCAGAGCACCACAGCAAGGGCGTCACCCCCTTAAAAACGCCTTTGTGATACCATATTGATGATAGCCCTGCGCATGTGCAGTATGCTGACCCCTGATTAGTGGTCTCATACCGCAGCGCAGGGGCTCCAGAAGTAAACATTTCCGTGCTACTTCGGACGTACCTTCGGCTCGACGTTACGCTATAAAACCCTTCGAAATTCACCTTTATGAGGACAAGTTTTGACTCCACAGAGGCAGGGAAAACCGATGTGTTGAGCTGTGACGACCGAGGTTAGAAATTACCCTGGGTAGCTAGGTCAAGGTGATCAGTCTAGCGTCCTGCGCCAATCGTTCTTTGGTGCCAAAAATTTGTGAGATAATTTGGACAGCGTGAACCCAGGCTACAAACAGGTCCTGAGTTCAGAGATACTGCTCAGTGGTCACTGTTTACGTTCCGGAGAGACACAAGGTGCAGTTTTTAGCCGTAAACTGCAACTGTAGCTCTGTCAAACGGAGGATATTTCGTCCAGCAGTGACGGTGTAACCAGCACGGCTTCTGCAACAACATGGGAACCACAGGCAGTAAGCGGGAGAGGAGTGACTCCGGTGGGGGTGCCTCCATGCGGGACTCCCTGGACGCTGACAGGCTGGACCTGAGCCGCCCCGGGAGTAAGATCATGGTGGGGTCGCCTCTGGAGGATGCCTTCGAGTTCTCTCCGTCTCCAAGTGTGAAGGTCGGTTGAATAAACAGTTTGTTTTACTTTGATCACGTGACTAGGAAGGGCATTAAAAATGCTTTGGCCTCACTGAAACAAGTAGGCAAAGATTTTGATGAGGCAGGGTTTACACTCTAGATGTATTGTATATTCACAAAAGCTGGTATACAGCATTAGTTTTAATTGACAATATTCTACTGTCAATGCCAAGAGAATTATACATGTATCTTCCTTTTCAGAGTGCAAGCATGAGAATCCCAGACCAACAGCAAGCAGCAAAAAGTTCATCAGCAAAGAAAGATACTGTGCCAACCATGTTCCGCTGGCGCGCTAATGCCAAGACTGTTGCCATGGCAGGCTCTTTTAATGAGTGGTCAACCAAGATACCTTTAAACAAGAGGTATGTTTGTTTGTGCCTTTTTTTATACTCGAATATGTATTACAGATTACCCAATTCAGCCTGCTTTTCATGGGGGCATGTGTTGTTGCCCTAAATTTATTAAAGCTGTTGAAGTATTTTATCTGCATGATGCAGCATCCAAGCTACTACCGGTAGTATCTTTTTTAATCTGTTGTCAAGACCTATACTTACTTTCTATTGACACTTTGGCATCGATGTAACAGTTTATTGTCACCATAAAAATTCTAGGATGAATTACTAGTGACTCTATGCCCATGACTTGTTCTTTCAGCCACAATGACTTTGTGACCTTCATTGACCTACCCGAAGGAAGACATGAGTACAAGTTCTATGTAGATGGACAGTGGGTGCATAATCCAGATTTGGTATGTTTGATAGAAGTTTACTCAGTAGTCAGCACCTAAAGTACACATTATTTTTCTATGATGTATGTAAAATGATGTTGGTAGTAGAGAAGTGACTGATATTCTTTTATTGAAGTAATCACAAGATGAAAGGAAATTAAATGGTACAGTGCAGGTGCAGTATGCTTATGTATACTGTAATTTTCATGCACACAAAAAGGTTTTGAGTGTAAAGTGGGGAAAAGCATAGATGTAAAGATGTAGCCTAGCTTTAATGAACTCCTTTTTTTCCCTTCCAGCCATCTGTGGATAACCAGCTGGGGACTTTGAACAATGTTGTGGAGGTGAAGAAGTCTGATTTTGAGGTGTTTGATGCTCTGGCATCAGACTTGGATTCATTGTCTAGCAGTGCAAAAGGGGACACTACTAGGGGTGAGGACTGGCCTGGCTCAATTATGTCCAGCTGTTGTAACTAGAGGGGTAAATCCCCTCCCTAGATCTTTTTACTACATGTACTAGTATGTTTCCAAATTAATGTGTTTGTACAACATAGCAGTGTTGACCACTGAAGTAGTTGTGTTTAAGTTAACTTTTTCCTACCAGATCTCAGTGCGTTATGATTGACCATCCTAGATACACTGTTCTTATCACCGGCTGTTTTCCTAAGCAGATGTATCAGGGTCGCCCCCAGGACTCTATGGTCAGTCTGTCCCAGAGCGGAGTCCGTATGACAGGATACAGAACCCCCCCATCCTGCCTCCTCAGCTGCTGCAGGTCATCCTCAACAAGGACATGTCTGTACAGGTCAGTCACATGCTTCATGCAAGGAAGACTTACTGGTACTTTTTTTGCTGGGGTTGACAACTAGAGTCTAGGAGAATAGATGAAGTCACATGAAATTGAGATTCAGAAATTTTACTCATCTTGTGAAGTAGTTTTAAATAAAGTTGACATATTGCTACAATGTAGTAGACAGATTAATTTTCTGCAGTCTTGAAGGTCTTCCTTTCTATAATGGTGATCCTCTAATTTTTCTTTCTATGATATAGTATAAATACATGCCCTTGTTTTCTGTTTGCTGTCCAGTGTGA